ACCTACACCAACTTGTCAGGCTAGCGCAGATTCAAATGACAGACATTTTGTGGGGGTGCATAGAAGGGCAACAGTTTCTCAGCACTTCACACGAAACAAAAGCATACCTTGCACATGTATTTATGATACATTTTCTCCCAATATTACACAGATAAAAAGTATTGAATAAGAGTTTATGTAATTTCAGACATTCCCCTCATTTTCTGAGCGAACACCCCCACATTGGCATGTAGTTTCCAGGTAGAATCGCCCATCCTCTTGGTCAAACACTATATAGTGTACGAGCTTTTAGGTATAGTGTTGATGGCCAAAACACATGAACCTTCGCTGGTGAAAATACAATAATGTGTAAACAAAATCAACGACAAGTGTTTTCTTTCACATAGTACAGAAGCATTTATTTCATTTGTACACTTTAAACGTATCATTATCATCACCAAAAAAAATTTTCCATGGCTAAATATTTTCCATACAAACCATTACTGAGTTTGAAATTTCATAAAAACAATGACAACAAGTCTGAAGAAGCAACCATTTAATTATGAGGTTCACTCCCATGACCCCTCATACAATTCCTTACCTAAAATACAATGGAATATCCCCAACATTGAAAGAAACCAGAGTCGGTGATTATAATTGGCTAAAAAGTATTCAGTATCTTCAAAGTAGCCAATAACATGCTTGGATACAAAACACATCAGCCAATCGTGATCCAGAAATGACTTAGCATGAAAGGATAAATAAATGCACAACACAGAAATTTTTGCATGTGACAGGTCGTTTAAGGTCGTTTGTTCAGTTTTATGGCAAAAATGTATCTACATGATCTTGACAGGAGAAAAAGATAATTCAAACATCTTCTTATCTATTGACCTATGACCCTGACTTTACTACCAACAGAACAGCGCCATCATAAGGTAGTAATAATTTCGACAATTTTAACTGAAAATGGTTTTTTTTTTAAACAGAAGTAGAAGACACTCATGCAATCAAAAACAAATTATAGCTTGAAAGAAGAAAATGAACATGTATTCTGTATGTACAATGGTTCAAAATAAGTCCAATTAAGCTTATGGAAATAACCACCTACATATCAAACAGTACCTCTCGAGCATATTGAGCAAGGGTTGAAATGGGGTTGGCGATGTGGATGAATAATACAAATTTCTGTAACAAAGTAACCAGACTGACAGACAATAAAATACAATTGCTAAATGCTGCTAAGGATGTTACGTTTGTGCGGGGCACTCGAAAGCCGTAGAGCGTCAGTTTTTTCAGAGTACCTATTTTGTCGTTTATGATTGTGATCAGAGATTGGAGATTGAGTTATCGATAGAACAGACAGACATGGTAACGACGAAGGGCCCCCCCATCAGAATTTCAACACTGGCGGGAGAAAATCACATTGTTATTTTTGTATACATTATCAAATTCCCTCATATTTGCAATACTGTAAAATACTTTATTTTCACTGGAATTTATTTTCGCTGAAAAGACTTTTTAGGTGTGTTATATGGAATTTATTTTCACTGATTTTTGGGGAGTTGAATGTAAAAGATAGGAAAAAAGGTATATTCGCTGGATTTTATTTTCACTGAATCATTCCTTCAGCAAAAATAGCGAAAATTAATTCCAAGCGAAAATAAAGTATTCAACAGTATATGAATTGATTGCTAAAAGCTGAGCAGTCTATCACGGATTGTTACACATCAATGTCATTTACACATGACGTTCAACGCTCTTGGATAGCATACAGAGTACAATTTATATGGATGTCAACTTGAAGCTGTGATTTATCCAGATTTAGGTTTTTAATACTGCCTGAAATGATACGCAGAACGTCTCCCTCCAAGTACGTGGTTTGATTTGTTTAACAATTAAATTATACAATTCATTTCTATTGTTTGCAGATAAAATTTGCCGAACAATAACACCCCTCCCTCTCTCCCCGCCCCCCCACAAAACATGGCAAATAATGGTACCATTCTATCCTTGTTAAGTTAGATAGCTTCTGGTTAAAAATACTGGAAGTTTTGAAGAGTTGCTACGATGCTACTTTTATCGGAACTGAATCGGGCTGATCCTGAGACCGATGGTATCTTTGCCAATTTCTGTACATTGTGTAACTCGGCATATTTGACCTTTGAACTCTGGCAAGTAACACGTTCCACTAAGCGGACACTTCTCGACTGGCTTTCCCCTGCAAAATTGACAGAAAAGGAATGAATGAGTAAACAAGTCAATGAAAATGACATGGTCCACGTTGGTACTTTTTTTTTTCCTTCTATCTCCTACCAGTTAAATACCAGACACCAAAAGGAAATAAAGGCTTCCGTGACTTATGAAATTTCATCATCGCAGAAGCTTTTCATATTGTGGGAATGCTTTTCATGCTCTTCACACGTTGGGTGCTGACTTGTTTGTTATGTCTGTTAACTGTGGTTGACTTCTTGCACATTATTGTACAGTAACTCATACAAAATGCTTGAAATTAAAAAGCCTTGCTACTGAGGAGACACTGCAGTAACACAGAGACTTTTTTTTTTACCTTTCATATTTTCCCAAAAAATGATTATCAAAATCTGTAGCGAGTAGGAAGTTATGTTCAAATGAGAGAAAAATACATAAAAAGCAGACAAAATTTGGCGGGGAAAAAGTATGGTGCTAACAGGGTTAATCAAACTATTAGTCTCCAGACTTGTGGTGTAAATTGCAAAGAACATGCAATGATGGACCAATCAGACAGCTTCTACTTTATAATATGGAATCAATGCACCCAATCAAATGACTTGTATCATAAAGTAATTTGTGCTCTTATTGATGATTGGTTAATATTGTCAGCCATTCATTACTAACCTGTAAATAGGTTTGTACGTAGCTCCACAGATGTCAAATGGATTGTGTTCATCATAATTTAATTTATGCGCATCAGTTGGGTTCTTTTCACAAACTTGTAAAATCTTACGAGTCTGAAAGAGAAAATGCAGAAAAAATGAACAATGTTTCTACGCAGTATGAATCTTTAGTATTAAAATTAATTCTACACTATTTTATTTTTACTTTTCAAATTATAAACTATTTACAAATATTGTAAACTTATTTTTTTATGCAAAAAATCTTCACAAATTGTGAGTTAGAGTCTAATCATGAACGTCACATGCCATGGTAATTTCTGATGATCTTATGCATTGATATTTTTTTAAATACTTGACTATCGCTTATAAATTATTCATAATTGTATTTCAACACCAGCACCTTATTTTTCTAAAACAGGATTATAATTAAATTTTAGAATATTAAATTGCAGAAAAATCAAGCAATCAGGAAGCACAAACATGACATATCGCACTGAGCCATACATTTTAGTTGTAACTCCACGAACGGTAACATAATTGATGGCACTGCTCGCAAAGCATCAAGAACAAGAAGGTCATTAAATACACCTACCTGTTGCGCAACATCAGGTTTGGGTCCTGTTTCGAGTAGTCTACGTGCAAACGATGCGGCTGTCTTATAGTTCTTCAGTTTGAAGAACAGATTTAGAGCGGTACGTAACGTCAACATGTGATGAATAGGTTGTGTATTACAGTGAGTGAAATAAGCGGCCATCTGAAAGTCAGACAATACGCAAATCGTCTGTGAGATCATCATGATTAACAAAACAAAAAATATATACAAATATTTTATTCAGGGTCCATAGCACCAAAAGCCAAATGATTTCCAAGACTTTTCCAGACCTTTTCCCAAACTTTCTTGCATTTTTCAAAGACATTTTAATTCAGGCCAACATCATCACCAAAGCTTATCAAAGTTCTGAGGATATGGTAGTTCCCTGGAGAAAACGGCCTTTTTAAAATGAATTAATAACTATGAAGAAATTTGAAGACTTTTCAAAGATTTATTTTTATTTTTCCTGTAATTTGAAGACAACTCAAAGACTTTCCAGACCTCAAAAAATCCAAAGACTTTCAAAGGATTTTCCCAATGCTATGGACCCTGTTAATGGTTCACTAAATGTAACTCCAAGTATAAAGATAACTGAGTTGAGTCTGGTTTGTGCAAAAATGACAAGACAATGACAAATGGAAGTAAGTACGAGTTCTCGACAATATAAAATAAGAAGATATGAAAAATCATTTACATTGATATTTTTTTTTTAGTCAAGGCAATTGTTTTTGAAATATTGTAAAAGATGAAAAACTACTCAACAGAATATTGTTGTTGGTGTGAACAACATTGCTTACACTGAACTACACAAGCATGTTCACATCAGAAAAGCATTTCATCACTAGATGGCATTCCTTTAGGGAATAACCATTGTATGTTTGCTCTATTTGCAGCACATGTGCTTTCGTGAAGGACATAGATGCATCTATGATAAAAATAAGTTGCATTTTCATGATACAGTATAAAACTAAATACGGTAAATGAAATTTCGGGTTACGTTCACTTTCATTAGAGATGCGCTACAAACGAAAAAAAAAACATTTTTATTTGAAGTCTGTTACAACTAACGAATGTAGTAGCATGATGTACAATACAGCACTTCCCTATTACAAAACAAATTTCTCACAAACGCAACATAGAGGGCAGTACATACCTCACAGTTTCTTTTTTGGTCTTCCAGGGAACTCTTGGGCAATTCTTTTCTTTTCTGTTCCATTGTCAACCCTACGATATATTCTCTACAAATGGTAATCAGCTGTTGGGCCTGCAGACAAATTAAATTAGGGACTGTTACTGACATAGCAATATAATTTACAAAACATAAAACAGTGAGAGGTATTTTGGGGATAATACAAAAAGTGAAAACAACTTCAAGTCATTTTTAACTCAAAATACATCACATGTAAGTTTGCCTACATCATCCAAAACTCACTTACCTCAGCAATTTCTTGTTTATTATCGACGACTAAAAGGGGAACACTAAGCAATATACTACGGAAACGTTCGGTGGCTTCAACAAATTTGCCTTGCGTTGTCATTTGGTACGCTAATTGTAGTCGCTGCACAAGATGGTTCAATTTCAAACCTACTGCAGGCACGCCACCACGGGCACCAGCCTCTCGCCTGGAAAACAAAACAATATTTGTAACAAAATAGTATAACGTGCATAAGGGTTGGGTAGGTAAGGGGGTTACTGTTACTGTCACTGTTAATAAGACAGAAGATAAAATTATGGAAGTGTTGACTACACTGCTGGATATACAAAACCATGCCATAATTGCTCTATTAGAAGGGCTTCTCCAATAGGAATGGAAGTAAACAAACAGTTGTATTTACTGTATAGGGAATAATTAAAATGTGACTTGTAACCATGGAAACATCACTGTCATTATGTAAAATGAACGCATGCGATACTAATACAGCATGTAAAACCATGGGAAAGCACCAGTCGTCGTGGTAACATGTATTCAGAGTTATTCAATCATGTTGTATTTTGATACACCTGAAATTAAAATATTGTATTTCAAACCCACTATACAAGTAACACTTGACCTGATTGGCTAGATTGTTGTGTGCTCGGGTGAGGGAACCAATGAGTGATCATCTTTCAAGTGAGTCGCTTGTTCAATGCTTCACACCACAAAAACAACACTGACATTTCAGGGAGCAATCCAGCAAATATACGAGACACAATAGAGCAAGAAAATGGTTGTGGGCATCACGTCTGCATGATTAGATATGGGACCCATACTATGCACAGCAACACATACACATACAGATAAATGTGTTGTTTATTGCCACAAAATTTAATTCATTTCAACGCACAGTTGCGACAACCATCACGCTCAATGACCACCGCTCTTTAAGAATAACATATCACATACCAGTTTCTGTGTGGATTTCCAAACATACTCGGCAGTGCAGGTAAAGCGATATAGGCTGTTCGTGCTCTTGAATAAGCTGACATGAATAACTGTTTATATGTTGTGAAATCCACAATACCGACTTGGTCGTACAGCAACTGAAAGCAAACGTACATAAAGATTAACAAAACCATTTAATATTACGAAACATCAGTGCATTGTACCCTCTAAGCCAATGTGCGTAATCGACGAACAGAAAATGTTAGCATCACAACTACCATATTGCTTTATTTAAAGCATGTCTGCTTATGTAAGTGTGTCTATGGTTAAATTAAATATAATTTAATGATCCAGTATAAATGCAATGTTTTTTTTCCAAACACGCTTCTAAAAATGTAAATATGGTAGCTATGCATAATCCTTGGCACATCATTAACATAACAGAATATCATACACTGACATACTGTAGAATACTTTATTTTCGCTAAAGGGATGATTCCGTGAAAATAAAATCCAGCGAATATACTTTTTTCCTATATTTCACATTAAACTCATCAAAAATCAGTGAAAATAAATTCCATAAAAAGTGCCCAAACAGCCTTTTCAGTGAAAATTAATTCCTGCGAAAATAAAGTATTCCACAGTATCTATCTAAAAAAACACCTCTTACTATAGCTATGGTATTTTTAATTTGGGAAAATAAAATTCACATTTTATAAACAAAGTAAGCGTAAAAAAACAAAGGAAATCAGATGTCATCATTATAGTTTGTGCTTTTCAGTTTGGAAATCACCTTCTGCCACAATGTGCACTAAATGTTTCTGAAGACCTTGATCTTTCCAGCAGTCAACAAGCTGACAAATTAATTTTTGCGATTTTTGAAATCCATACAAAATTAGTCCTGATCCAGCAGGGCACACTGGTTGTCATCTGTGAAAGTCTCTACGAAAGAGATACAGAAATGTATTGGACATCAACATCATCTTTATTTGAGAAGTGTACATCACATAAGGTCACATTCAAACACTTTCCCTTGTTGATATCAAAAACAGCATCCATGTGATCAAAACAGAGCCATATCATTGGTCGCTCAGTCCATCACCCACACTGCCTGTATACTGGGTTACATCTCGCATGTATATGCGTCTCAGAATAATTCTTAGTTTAAACATACTTACCCTGGTGGCAGTCTCAAATGATCCCGCTAAGATATGATCCACGGCAAGCTGAGAATTATTACACCAAACCTAGAAGTGAGAAAACAACATCACCGTGTAAATGGAATGTGTCTTGTCATTGACATTTGACATGAACTAAATCTGTACAGGATTCTCAATGAATCTGAAATAGATCAGTTCTCCATATGTTTTTCCTTGGTTGCTACATTACAGAGCATGCTGGCAATGGAAAGGGGAAGTCGATTTTATAACTAGTCATTCATGAGCCAGTTTGTCACAGTGTTTTACAAGTTCAATAGACTTACTTTTACTTGTATGAATGGCAAAATGTTAGAAATTATATTTTGTCCAACTTTCTCATTTATGTGTGTTTATGAATAAAAAAACATACTTTGACTTCACATCAAAAAAGTCTGGTAACCTAACAAAGTTAACTAGAATTCCTCAATGCAAAATCTATCTACAATATCTGCGTAAAAATGCATATTGTTATTGAATAAAGGTGAATCAACGACAATCGTTTTCTCTTTGCGTACATTGTAGATAAACAACCAGAGAACCTGAATTTTGTATAATGAGCTTCGCATGATGAGTAACCACGCTTTGGGAGACTCAACTACACATTACATAAAGGGTGTGTGTGCATGGATTACATCTAAAGTCTTACTAAAGCAATATTAATGCTGTGAATTGGGAAATCAAACTTTCGGTTTCAATATTCGACACAAATGGCCGCAGAGATCTTGTTGAGAGCGAGAGAGCCACGCGACTTGTTTTGCTGCTCAAACAATATTCCACTCTTTATCGTCATCACATTCATAGTTACTTATGACGGTGGACAAGATGACGGGAGAGAATGGAATCTCAGCGCCATTTTTGAATAAGATCTGTTGCTCTACAGACTTATACCGTAACAACCATTTTTTACAAAATATGAACCTGTAGTAGAATGTGATCTCATTGAAGGGCAAGTTTTTCACATGTTGAGATGAGTCTTTGAATTTATAGACTTGATAATCTGATACACTACACTAATAGGTAATATATGTAAGATGCACGACAGATTAATCTTACCTGACTCTGGCTTGTCCCTTTCGTAGGTGGTACATAGTATCCTTCATCTCCACCAGTCGGTACTGGACCTATGTCCTGAAAAATAACAAATTGTAACATGCAATCATCATACTTGTTTTGGTGGCGAAAAGAAAAGCGAACTGATTTGTGAAAATATGAGATTTGGTGTTTTCCAAATACAGCAAGGTGCACAGTACGTGTTACAATAACAAACGTAAGTTACCTTGCTGCAATGTCCGAGATATTTTTCTGTTAACAATTTGTCAAAACATAACTGGAAATAACCATTCGCATTCACACAGTGACCCCGCCCCTAAGGTTACACATCCTTGAACTTTTGGAAGGAATTGACCACCACATAAACAGTGACCCCGCTCCCTAAGGTCACACATCATGGAACTTTTGGAGGGAATCGACCACCACATACACAGTGACCCCGCTCCCTAAGGTCACACATCATGGAACTTTTGGAGGGAATCGACCACCACATACACAGTGACCCCGCTCCCTAAGGTCACACATCATGGAACTTTTGGAGGGAATCGACCACCACATACACAGTGACCCCGCTCCCTAAGGTCACACATCATGGAACTTTTGGAGGGAATCGACCACCACATACACAGTGACCCCGCTCCCTAAGGTCACACATCATGGAACTTTTGGAGGGAATCGACCACCACATACACAGTGACCCCGCTCCCTAAGGTCACACATCATGGAACTTTTGGAGGGAATCGACCACCACATACACAGTGACCCCGCTCCCTAAGGTCACACATCATGGAACTTTTGGAGGGAATCGACCACCACATACACAGTGACCCCGCTCCCTAAGGTCACACATCATGGAACTTTTGGAGGGAATCGACCACCACATACACAGCGACTCCGCAGCCCCTAAGGTCACACATCCTGGTACTTTTGGAGGGAATCCTCATAATAGCAATCATCAAACATCTCTTTCGTTTCTCATGAAATTTTTTAACGAGAGTTTGCATTCTTGGTAGCAATTTCTTGTTGATAGTGACCTTTGGGGGTCACGTAAACACATATAAAAATTGTGTTTGATTTCTTACCAAGTCTGCTGGTAATTCCAAATCATCATCACCGACATCCCATCCACCACCCTCTTCATCGCCACCTTCGTCATCGATACCAATCATTCCCTCGTCATCAAAACCACCGCCTTCTGTGAATAACGAGATCAGCATTTATAATAAGAATGCAAACACAGTGGTCTGAACACCACCTTCTCCCAAATAAATGTAATTCAAACAAATTATTTGTAGTCAATTTTTTATCCAATTATTCATCATCTATTATTAAAGTAAAACAAAATGAAGTTATACTTCTCGTCTTCACGCATGCCAGTTACGAACTTGCACTTTTTTTTAACTAACGAAGGGGACCATATATGGTAGAATAAGGAAAATTTATTGCATATACAGAGAACATGCTTTTGTTAATTTAATGTTCTTAATGAAAACATTATTTCAATAGTAATTGTTTAACATAGAACATACATCTTGTCGTTGTAGATAGATATTAAATTATCTAATTACAAAAAAAACAAAACAAGCCATGCATGGCACAGTCCCAGTTAGTTATCAAATTTAAGATATATAGTTTTGTTTATAGTAATATAGCTGGAATATAACCATGTCAGGAATATGATTTTTTTAGCATTAAAATGATTGACAATTGTATCTGATCGTCAAAAAAGTACTTGTCCATATTGAGAGATATTGCTCTGGAACAGCATTCAAAACCAGCCATTTTGAATACATGTATATATATAACATAGTGTATAACGAATATATAAAATTGGAAGCCCAATGATTAAAACAAAATGGCCGCAAGACAGCAATTTTGAATCCGATCTGAAAAATAAATGATGTGCATCAGGAACCTGTAATGTCTAACATATGTACCAAGTTTGAACGAAATCCATCCATAAATGCTTGATATTTGATGATTTTTTAGCACAAAAATGGCCACCATTTGGCCATTTTGAATAGGATCGTCAAACCAATATATCTGTCTATCTATGACATGATGTATATTGAAAATTTAAAATTTGAACATAATCAGTGAAAGCAAGTCAGAGATATGGCACGAGAACCACATTCATTAAAACAAAATGGACGCCAGTCGGCCATTTTGAATCTTATCTGAAAAACAAAGTTATTTGCATTAAGGTCCCATAATGTCTAATGTATATACCAAGTTAGAACAAAATCTATCTGTAAACAGCCGAGAAATGCTTGATTTTGATGATTTTTTAGCACAAAAATGGACGCCATTCGGCCATCTAGAATCAGATCGTGAAACAAATTGACGTGCATATGTATACTATCATGTATGATGTATGTGTGAAGTTTGATTGTGATTGGTCCAGGCATTTCTAAGATGCAGATCCGGACGCACGCACAGACGCACGCACACACGGAGGTCACAACATAAGTCCCTGTTTTCGGACTGCGTCCGAATATGGACTAATTAACAGCATCAATACATCATTTTCCCTTGGATGAGACACAAAACTTCATTTACTAGCGTAATTTATAAATTGCACCAGTTCGAGTGTACCCAGATGGGAAATAATCACTTGAGGCAATGTTGTCTACAATGTACTACAATGACAATACCACACTATTGACAGGATTATAAACATACCATCAAGTACAAGCTCAGCGTCATCACCCCATCCTTCGCCGCCTTCATCTGCGATAATTTCAGTGGCAGCCATTGATGTCTTCCCTTTGGTCATAGCGCCCTCAAAGAATCCTTTGGTGACGGTTAACAGCGGCCAGTTGTCTTCGGACTGCATTATTGGTGGCGGGGGTTGCAGTAATCTGGCGTTGGGATTCACTTCCGGTAACTTTGATAACAAAAACAACCACATTAATTCAGCAGTCATAAATATTTATAAATATTTTATACGAGCAGCGTCTCAGCTGAGATAGCTCCGCTGTTAGTAATGCACATTTCAATTGAAGATATTATCACAAAATGAACAAATCTGAGATTGGTCAACCTGAGGTACCTATATGTATAATATCAAAGCAATCAGATTCAATTCTACATCAATAGATTAGGAACACTGACATTAACTAATAATGTTGGCAATCATATTTAAAACAAAGTTTTAGTGTCATGCCATGTCCATGACGTTTCTG